CCCGTCCCGTCCCGTCCCCTCACGCACCTCCCGCCGCCGCCGCCCCGCCACTTTTAACCGAGCACGCTTGGCGCCGCCGCCCGCCCCCTGCCTCCTATTGGTCACCAGGAGAAAATGGAGGCAGCTGATTGGTTCTCGCCCTGTCAATCATCYCGCTGGCCAATAGGAAGCCGCGCTCGGAATTAAAGTGCCAACCGGGAACACGTGTGCGGAGAAACGTACAACCGGCTTCTGGCGGGGCTTGGTGACGTCATCTTTGTGCGCCGAGACCCGCCTGTGGCCCCGCCCCTTTCGTGTGGGAGATTCCGGTAACGGAACCGGCCCGGGGCCTGAGCGGGATCACCGGGGCCTGGGAGATTCCCGGTAACGGGATCGGCCCGGGGCCTGAGCGGGATCTGCCACAGGGTCTGAGGGATTCCCGGTAACGGGATCGCCCCGGGGCCTGAGCGGGACCTGCCCCAGGGTCTGGGAGATTCCGGTAACGGAACCGGCCCCGGGGCCTGAGCGGGACCTGCCCCAGGGTCGGGGAGATTCCCGGTAACGGGACCGGCCCGGGACCTGAGCGGGATCACCAGTGCCTGGGAGATTCCTGGTAACGGGATCGGCCCGGGGCCTGAGCGGGATCCCCAGAACCTGACTGGAATCACCAGGGCCTGACCGGGACGCGTCCCAGAGCCTGATCGGGATCGCCAGGAACCCGGGGACTGACCGGAACCCTCCAGTGTAATCAGAGGGATCCTCACGGCCTGATCGGGACCCGCCCGTGTGCTCAGAGGATCCCCGGGGCCTGACCGGGATCCACCCACACCCTGACCGGGATCCCCGGGGCCTCCCAGGATCCCCCCACGGTCTGACAGCGATCTCCGGGCCCTGGCAGAGCGCACCTTCCCTGCAGCACACCCGGTGGAAGCCAGGCCGAGCTGGGTGCTGCTGGTCACAGCGGGTGTGGGGGCTGTGGCTGCTGCTGACACGCTGAGATGTGGCTTTCTGGAAAATGGCTGTTCTGATCCCTAAAAAATCCTAAAGTGTGAGGTGGCATTACCCGTGTCCCGATGGGGTCTGAGGGAATGCGTGGGAAGAGGCCAAGGGTGTGGTTTGACAGGAGGAGAAAACACATCCAAGGACAATTTCCAGGAAGCAAATTGGTTTCCATGTTTTAATTTTCTATAAATACCACATGCACAAACTTTTCCACTTGCCCGTGGTAATTTAAGGGCCAGAATTKTTACCACAAATGCACACGTAGATGACACCTTTATTTCAGGATAACCTGAGACAGGRTTGTTGTTTCCTTTTGCTTGGCTCCCAGCAGCAGCTGTGATGATCTGGAAGCAGATGGCAAAGAAGTCCCTGTTCCATTCCATGCTCTGATGGCAAGAGGTAATCTTGCCTTCCTCCTCTTCYACCTTCTCTTCTTTGTCCTCACACCATGGTCAGAGCCTGGAAAGCCCTTCCCAAACCACCACTGGGATGCATGGCAGCATTTAGGAATGAGTGGCCAGTTATACATTATACACAAAAATTATAAAATGTATATAAAATGTAGCAATGTGCCAGGGCTGAGTTAATGCGTTGGCACGCAGAGAGTAATCAGAGGGTGGTGGTACCTAAAATTGAAGTTGTAATTTAAGCTTTTGCTCCATTGTGGACAGACAAAGCATGTTTTCTATGTTTAGATTTTCTAAAATAAAGCTTGTGTTATTGCATAGCCTATTGTGACATCCTGTGGTAAAACACAGCATTACAGATACTGTCAAAGCAGTTTTGGCTGCATGATTGCAAAAGTTTAGATTATGTGGAGTGAGCAGTGGTAATTCATTCCTACATGTTCAGTTTGGCCAGCCAGCTGTGATCATCTCCAAAAACTTCTCCAGGATGAGAAATCACACTGGGTCAAACATTAATGTGGGATAGCACAGATATTTGCTCTGTGCTGGCCAGAGATTACAGCTGTCCTTTCCTAGGAAAGGCCTACGACTCAAAGTGTTGATTGTTTACATGCTATCCCTGTGAAGGTCCATAAATCCACATTTCCTCCTCAGGGAGCATTCCCACTCCAAGATTAAACTGTTCAAAGAGAAACAAGAGACACAACAATCTGCACACAACTGCAGTACCCCTCAAGGTTGTACAGAGCACCTGCATTAATGGCACTGATGCTCCCATATCTTATTATCTTATCTCTCCCAAAGATTATTTTCCCCAGGTCAGGGAATTGTGCATCCTCTGCTCTGCCAATTGTTCCTCCTCCCACCTCAGCAGAATGCAGATTGAAGGGGCTGCAATTACCCTCCAGTCAGTCCTAAGCCAACACTCCAGCCCAGCAGCTCCAGCACGCAGAGAAATGGCTCCAGTGACACATGAAATTGAGGTCTTGACCCCCTGA